TTACATACATATATGGTCCTATTACATGCTACAAGAAAACTCGCTAGGTGGTGCTGGAGTAGAGTTATTTATAAAAATCGTATTTTTTAACCGAATTCGTTCAAACTTTAAATGTGAGCTATGTACCTGTATGACGGAAAATTCTTTTGATAAAAATTTACTCGATGAGTGCCGCTGGAGTCGTGGTAGAAATTCACAACAAGTACTCATTTTATGGTAAGCAATGGTTTTGCAGAAAATGGACCCAATGGATGGCGCTGCAGCCGAAATGTATAGAAACCCCGTGTGGTTGGTCTGCTTTGGCCCTATGTTTTAGTTATGCGAATTTAGATGTCTAAATGAAGGATGGGGTTAAGTTTGTCTGACGCCCTCATGCACGATCATGCAATCTTGTACCTACCTGGAAATTAGTTCATAAGTATTACCAGGAATTTTAAATAGCGAATTAACAAGGAAAGATCATTTAGCCAACGTACCGGAAAATTTTTCATCCTGTGAGTTAGCGAGGATTCTTGGCCCTTCTATAACAGAAAACGCACTTCTGTACTCTTGAGTTTCCTTATAAGAACTTTTATTGGTATACGCATCGCACCAATGTTGTAGTTGCAAGATCATAGGAAAAGATTACGCATGCTTGGCAGAGATCTCACAGGTGGAAACAAGACCATCGGTAAAGCTCATGACACCGAAAGGGATTGGTGTTCCATATGGTATCACAGCGTTACTATTATTGGCCTATGTGTGAGGAGAATAATGCGCCTTAGTGCTTTCAACTTAAACCAAAAATTTTAACTTTACAGGCTATTTTTGCTTCTAAACGCTCTTTTGCATGGGCCAACGCAAAAGTTCTTATTAGGCGCTGCGAAGTAAGCGGGCATTGGTTAGTCATAAATATTTTTATTGCTCGTAAACAAATAACGGAACACTCACATTCTTTCGATAGCTTAATGATTTGGTACTACCGAAAATTTTGTGTGACAAGCAGTGTTGGTAGAAAAATTTTGTTAAAAATCTTCCAGGTGATTAAAATCTTCAAAAACCGTAAAAAGGTTACAGAAACTGGAAAACAAATCTATTTTTCTCTAGAATAATTTTTATTGAAGATTTTATAACGAAGAAACCTTCACTTTTTAAAATTTTCTTGTGTTATACAAAACCATAACACATTTTGTTAAAAAAAAAAACCTTTTTAAAAAATCCTTTGTATAAAGAATACCACTGCAGGTGCTGGTTTCCAGATTATTACGACTCCTTTTTTTGTTTAAAATTATTTGAAAAAAACTCTCTAGCTGTCCTACTTCCGCATGTGCATCAGTAAATTGATGACAAATACCAAAAATTTGTTGCCAACTAGCCCAAAAAAATAAATCTTCAACTGTTACCAGATATATAGAATGTGAAGAATTGTTGTATGGAGTTTTATTTTGTTGTAGTTATCTTCATGGGAAGATTTTTATGATTATTTATGAAAATATCTTCATTTTGAAGATAATTCTTTACTTCTGGCAACACTGGTGACAAGTGCGACCTGCGTAAGAGGACCTTCAATGCTGTATGCTTAAAAAATTCAATGAAGCTGATTAAAACAGTAAAATCTATTCTTATTTACTTATTTGCAGTGCAAATAAAATAAAATAAAATAAAATAAATAAAATTTGTTTTCAATGACTGAAGAATGTGTCAGACGTGGCAACTCAATATATTTCGAAAAGGCTGTCAAATTGAGAGATTTCAGAAAGCATCCGCATGAGTCACGCCATGCATGTAGAGTGTCTTACAAAAGAGTTTTTTTTATTTTCGAAAGACAAACTTTAGGGAAAGTTTCTAAAATCGGCTTTCGTTATTTAGATATATTTTCTATACCAAAATTTTACTATTTTTTGCCGATATTATGTGCCAATAGAATTCAGTAAACTGAAGTCCCTTAAAGCGGATTCGTAGCTCACGTTCTAAACTTTTTTCTAATTTACTCTTACTCTCTAGCATTTTTAGTCCGATTTCAATAATTTTCAACGATTTGGTTTTATGTGCCAAACACAATAACCATAGCAAGTATTGTACAAATTGGTTGAACGTATACTGAGATAAATATATGTATGTGATCATAAGTAGGCGGTGCCACGCGCATTTTCCAAAATTTTGTCATAAACGTATTTATTGGTAAAAAATTATTGCAAGCATAAATTTTTAATAAATTAGCTTTAGTATTTACTGATTTATTGAAGATTTCGTATTTCTCTAAATTTCCGTTATATGGAATGTGGTCGTGGTTATGGTTCAATTTTAACAAGTATGAAAGTCTAAGTTCGGGCGGAGCCGAACATTAAATACCCGGCGCAAGTATTGAAATATATGTTTTTTCACCTTTAATCTAATAATTATCTAATAAAATAATCTAATTAAGCTAATTTGATAAAATATAAAATTTTATTTTTTGAAGAAATCCAGTGATTTTGAGTGTTTTTTTCGAAGAACCCCATTTTTGAACAATTTTTTTTTAATGTGAAGCAGTACTATGACTTAATAGCAACATTGTTCCGGTAAAGGTAAATACAATAGCTTTCAAATCCATTTTGTTATTGCTTCTGTCGCTACGCTACGATTAATTCGCATAGAGTGTCAAAAAGCACACTGTGCGGCGTTGGCCACATTAATGAAATTTAATTCATTATTATTAATTTGAAGGTTAAGTGCACGTTTTTGTGTTATGTTGATTTTTCTATTAAACCATAATTAACAAATCTGTCAGTTTTTAGAACAAAAGCTCATAATTTAAATACCCGTGAAGCGAAAAAATTAATTAATTAATCCTTTCCTGGCATTGGTTCAATATATTGTACATTTAATTATTTGAAACATTGGAAGCGTGCTACTAAAAATCTTATTAATATTTTTGAAAACAAATTAAAGTTTGTGAAGCTTTGGAATGTCCCGAATAGTTTACGTAAATTTCAAAATCGAAAACGTTTCAAAAATATTTTTAGAATTTAAACATAGACCAATTTATAAAATTCCAGTGACACGCAAATTGTGGTAATTTACTGTACAAAAAATACGTGAAAGTCAAGTAAAATCGCTAATAAAAGCACATAGTATGGAAATAAAAAAGCATTTCATCATATAAAAATGCTAAAATTGAACCATCATGATTTAAAATATTTTACCAGAGTGGTAAAAAAAAAATTACAATTGGGGTATTCACAACGGTGTCGTAAGTGTCGTATTGTCGTATGTCGTAAACTTTAAACGCCTAAAAAATATACTAAGGGGGTTCGAAAAGTACCATCAAAGTCATATTATGCATTCTCGCAGTGCTAAAAAATAGTTGGTTGTGGTTTCAAATTCTATTAACATTTATTTAAGCTTTTAAAGTTTACGACATACAACAATACGACACCTACGACACTGTTGTGAATCCCTCAAATATATTGTATATTTACACTGAAGGGTTGTAAGTGTCTTGTACAAANTCATATTATGCATTCTCGCAGTGCTAAAAAATAGTTGGTTGTGGTTTCAAATTCTATTAACATTTATTTAAGCTTTTAAAGTTTACGACATACAACAATACGACACCTACGACACTGTTGTGAATCCCTCAAATATATTGTATATTTACACTGAAGGGTTGTAAGTGTCTTGTACAAAATATTGTACAAACGTCCGCAAAGGTTGCAGTTGAACAGGCAATTAGGGTGGTTTTTCCCGTGGTTTTTGAAGAGCTCGTGCGCTATTGTTGCAGGAAAGGGTAGGTTTTTGATTTCTTGATGTACTGAAGGCAGAAAACCCGGGAAGGTTTATTAAAACGGGTCATTTGTATTTTATAACGTAATTGTATCTAACATTTTTCAAAATTTCTTTATATAATTCTCATCTCATGGAGAAATTTTAAAATTTTTTAATGCAAATCTTAACTAAAGATACTTAAAAAGATATAAAATATTCATTCCAACATATCTGCAGTAAAATCGATTATTTTGTGCATACATAAGTTCATTTTCAGTGAAATAAAAGTTTTATTCCGTCAAACTTAGTGAACTATTTATTAAACATTCTTCAGTCCTTTTGCTCCTTTGCGGACTTTTGTACAATATATTGCACAAATTTGAAGTAGCCCTAATAGCTACCCGAAACAACTTTTGAATATTTTTTTTTTTACTTTTGGTATTATGAGGCTCTATGAACCTTGTAATTAAGAAGAAAAATTTTTATATTCATCAGGGACGGATTTGACCGGAAAGGGTTAATAACTCAAATTAGTTCAGAACTTTTCTTAGTTGCTCTCCCACTTCTAATTGGGAGAGAAACCACATGGAAGAAAAGTTCTGAACTGGAACGATGACTCTGCCTTTAGCGATTGCGTTCATTTATTCCATTTGGCAACCCTAAATAACATAAAACATTTTAGTGGTTTGCATTTGAAGTGGAAGCATTTGAATAGACAAGTGAACGATCGAATTGTACGCATAAATTCGGAAAGATATTTCAGTTATTTCCAAAATGCTTAAAAGACGCGTCAAACTGAGGTATAAAAATAAACGAGTAAATAAAAAGGCTAAAAACAATCTAATAAAATGACTTGGAAGAGTATGCGCGTTCGTCGTTATCCGAAAAAGGTAACTACTTAAAGCTTGAAATCGACTTCCTTTTCCTTCAGGTCTCAGTTGATTGACAGTGGATTTTGGTGAAACCACATGAACGAAGAAGGGAGAATTAAAAATAAAAAAGAAATGAAAAAAGAGGAATATGGCCGCGTTGCGGTTTGCTTTGCAAATGCTTTTGGTTATTGCTAAAGTTTAAGCCTAAATCTGACGATGTTTTCTCTCTTTATTTTAGGACCAAGTTTCTTGCAAAGATTTGATAAAATTTATCTTTTTCTATAAATTTAAGGCAATAATATTTTTAACTCAAACTCCATTTAACTTATTATAATTGTAAAGTTTGTATGTATGTACGTACATAAACGACTACTTTTGTTTTAAAAAGTCTAGTGTTATTACCTGAATTGTTGCTGCAGGCCCACAGTTGATGCCGGACATCAGAAAGTCATCGGGATCACTTTCATATGGCGGTTCGTCGTACCAATGGCCCTGATGATGCAGACCGCTAACCGCATAATGTGGTCCACGTAGTGCGTCATCATACATATAGGTGTCGTCTGTGAATAAATAATACAATTCAAATAATGGCATACATACATATGAGCCCAAAAGAGCAGAAATGGCCTAAACCGCATTTTTTCTGAAAATAGTTTCAAATGTGATAAATTTTAAAATAAAAGTAGTTATTCTTTAATTTTATGGTACACACATAATGTAGCTCTGCGCCTTAAAATTAAATAATAATTAAGTGACTTTTATTATAAAATGTATCACTTTTGAGACTATTTTAAGTACAAAAGTACAAAAAAAAATTTTGGATTAGGCCTTTTTTGCTCTCCTGGCTCCACATATGCTTATATAATTTTCTGCATTTGTAATAAACGAAAAACTTAAAGAAGGGGCAGCAAGCGTAGAGACTTTGTTTAATTCTTCAGGGAAAACGCCAAAATTATTCAAGCATTTAGTAGTGCTCAAATGCTTCAGGTGCGCCGAAAAGTCACATCGGTGCTTTGCAGTTGTTCAGAGCGAAAAATGTTCAAATGCGCTACGACTTTTGCATACACCTCAGCTTTTCTACAGATATTTAGCATTTCACGCGCAGCTACATGGAAAATTTTGCACCACTCAAGGGTGCTACTGCCGCGAAATAAAGCAACAAGAATGTAGAATAATAACAAAAAGAGAATGTGCTAGGTATAGTTGGCAGACGCAAATGTTAAGCGACAGCCAAAAAGTGTCATTGCACTTTTGTTTGTTTGCCGTTTGTGTGTTCGTGGGACTCTTAGGCCCTCGCCTGCTCAAGTGTGCTGGGTAGAGATGGAAAATAGGAGCGATTCAAAGAAGTGAGCATGTGTTTGAATTTTTCCTTTATGATGGCGTTTACAAACACTTAGAAACCGTGCAATGTTTGCACCCAGTCTGCAAAATAGCCGAAAAAAATTCGAATAAAAATCGGATGTTTCATACGCCGATTTTTGTCGTTTTTGACGATATGTTTTCCCAGAAAAGTATGTAACCGCAACACTTGTCTAGGAAAGTACTGAAAACTGTTGTAAAACGGTTACGTTTACCGGTGTTTTTCCGATGATTTTCTGAATATTATTATTTTTTGTTTAATACGCTTTCAGTCTCAACTTCTCAGATGCTTTTTCATAGTTACTGCCAATCAAAGCAAAAAAAATATTAGATCTCAATAAATACCTTTTATTCCATTTTAATACATTGTTGCGTCTGGCGGCATTCGAAACTGAGACTATCTGGAAGCCAACAAAGAGCATCACGCTCCTCTCCACACTCACCCTGCAGAAAATCTGACTAGCTCAGAACTAGCGTAGAACTAGACCTTTTGCCGACAGTACTAGTTCTAGCTCAATACCCAAGCAATGCTTTCACTCTCCAGTTTTACACGGTGCTGTCATTGGCGGTGGCAATTGTCGCCAAGTGCATTACTTTGCAACTAGTTGTTAACCAGTTCCGTTTTGGACAGTTTTTCTTTTTAAGAAACCGTTTTTAAGATGCGTTTTTTCTTTTCTGTTACAGATTCCAGTTTTGTTACTTATTTTATTAAAAACAAAAAATTGTTGTAAGCTGCACGAAATAGTTTAAATTCATAAAATTCGAAAATTCACAACTGCCTTGAGTCGGATGTTTTCTCGCTGAGCTACTTTCGTATTGTACGAGTAGTGAGCATTTGCACATTTATACCGCAAGTTTCAACTGTCCTGTTCTGCATCCCTTTTGCACTAGTTCAGAGATAGTTCTGATATACGTAGTTCAGAGCTAGCGCTTTGTGAGACTGTCTCTAAATTTTACTGCAGGGCAGCTACAGTTACACATGTTTTCAAATGCTTAGTTTGAATAAATATTTAAAAGGACTGTCAAAAAAAAGCATGTAAATTTTTTAAGTTTTTCGGATACGAAAAAATAGCGAGACTTGGAGTAGTTTGTTGTACAATTTCGGACACGAAAAATGCACTCTCGGCAAAACGTACGTTTCTCTGCAGCCTGGGTATGTACGTACATATACATATACCTGTGTGTGTATGTATGTATATAAAATTTTTCCCACGAAACGGAAACGGACGTAGACATTATATGCTCACTTAGGCATGTGAGTTGTTTCTACAGATGCTGTTGCGTTGACGCAAAGCGAGTTAACGCCATGGCAGGTGAAGCGCAAACAAATTGTTGCACTCGTAAATGCAGACGTTCTTCGGCTGCTTGAATATTGTAAAATTTCGAGAGATACAATTTTTGTTTCACTTACCTATTCGCCCCTCACGACTCATTTGAAGCAAACCTTGCCGTATGTCGCGCAAAATCTACAAGAAAGGAAGAAAAGACGAAATTAAAAACAAAAACATCATTGAATAAAAATGTTTCGTAAGTTCTGTCTAATCACACACACAAATCCAAAATGTTTGGCAAATACTACATCACTAGACAAACTGAAAACTCGACATATCGCACACCGTCTTCAAAAGAGTCACAACTTAAAATTTGGCATTTTTGAGATTATGCGCTAAAAATGTACGCAGAGCTTTTATTTAACTTTCAGCAAAAGCTGGAGCAAATTTTTGTTATACATATGTACATATATGTATATTAGATTGCATCACCAAAAAGAGTTGCGGTTTTCCGGCGGTATAACAAAACCCCGTATATTTTAAGACTTCTACCAAAATATCTCGGAAAAAAAATATTATGACTTAAGTGAGCTGGACCGGTTTGAAAATACCTCTAAAAATGGAATAAAAATAGTTTCTTAAAGGATTTTTTAGAAAAATCTCCTCAGATGACAAAACAGTTTAAGCTTAAAAAATCTGCATAAAAATATTAAAAAAGTTTATCAATGGAATCATAATAATGAGGGGTTTTTTGATGTTGTTTTTTAACTTTTTTCAAAGATTTGGGTAAGAAAAATTTGAATAACTGCTCCAAACCTTTACCGATATGAGGTATCAGTGGAAAGGTATTTTATCACCTTTTTCCCCATTTTGCAAAAAAAAAATGCATTCACGTCCTAATATTTTCTTTATCAAATACCAACACATCCTACTTAATTCGACATGGAATGCCACTCGTTTATCTTACCTTCCTCTTTTATTCTTTTAATGAGTTTATCCGTAAAGAAATTAAAATGGTGACCAATGACCTGACCAATGATACTTCATAAGTCTAAATTGGTAAGGGTTTGGCTGAGTTATTCAAGTTTTTCTTAAACCAGCACGGTGGACCTGAACCAACTTTAAATCGAAGGTCATAGCACATCATATTTTTTTGCTAATTTGGGTTAATCATGTTATGAATAACTTGTAAAAATTTTATAGCCCATAACTTATCGAGCCGTTTTTGAAAAAAACTCATTTTGAATGGAAATTATTCCCTTTCTTTTAAAATTTTCACGCACCCGCTCTAGATGACAAATTGATACATTACAGTTTATATTTATTTTGTAATGTAACTTGTACGATTTATATACAATCAAGTTAGTATATGGTTCAAGTGTCTTAGCTTGTTTTATGCACAAGATGCCGATAAATTCAATTCAAACGAGAAGATTGTGCGCGCACAACATTTGTTCTTTTGAAGTTTCGAATATAAGTATTCTTTATACTTGCAATAGTTTGTGTCAAGTATATCTACAAAACAATAACATGTTCGCAAGACCAAAAGACCATGCATGCATGTAGGCAAGGGTCTAGGATTCTATAGCGAGCAAGATGTAGAATCCCTACATACCGACTTTAAAGCAACTGGGACAAATATAAAGTATTCGTCAAGCATCCGGAATAACCATCTAAATTACTGAGAGCAGTACAAGAATACAATGCTCAACATGTATAAGCCACTGTTTAAAAAATTTAAAGGGTTGTATGTAAAACACCATGCTGCTCGCCTATTAGTTGTCCAAAAATACATATATAATCCATATATAAATACGCCACAAGAAAATTTTGCAATCCCTTTTTTGAAGGCACCGTTCGCTCGATTTCTATGAAACATACACCATACTTACTTACGGCGAAGAACGGCAGATTTTGGAAAAGAGGGCGTGGCACCGCTTATACAAGCTGAAATTCTCATATCATTTATCTCTGGAACCACTTATTGTAAGGATTTGGAATTTTATACACCTACATTTATACACATATAAAATCGCAAGAATCATTAAACTGGGAACCATTTTCTCCCACATTTTAAAATCGCATTGAATCGCTGTTGTTTCGTGCAAAAGCTTTTAGAAGTATAAGTGTGTCTTCCGATATTTGGCGCAGGGATTGAGAGCTATCCTAAAAAATCATATTTATGATCAAATTTGATATTTCACTTTTAGANTTTATACACCTACATTTATACACATATAAAATCGCAAGAATCATTAAACTGGGAACCATTTTCTCCCACATTTTAAAATCGCATTGAATCGCTGTTGTTTCGTGCAAAAGCTTTTAGAAGTATAAGTGTGTCTTCCGATATTTGGCGCAGGGATTGAGAGCTATCCTAAAAAATCATATTTATGATCAAATTTGATATTTCACTTTTAGAACACATGTTAGTAACATAAAATTTGGTGTAACTTTGTAGCCCAGTCGTGTGATGGAAAGATATTGGGCTTTGGCCCAGTCTTGATAAAAACCCGTATGAAACCGCCGTTAGAGAAGGAAATATTATGTTTTGGTGTAAACATTCAATATACTTTCTCGACCGTTAACGATTCTGATGAAAAAAGAAAGAGTTTATGTAGATGTGGGTAATTTAGTTTTTAATCTCCAAGAGGCTCTCAGACAAATATTATCGAAAAACTTATTTACAGTCTGAATTAGTATATGTTTGACATATTAGTGAGTGATGAACATCTTTTCTGTACATACAAATACATATGCATATTTTTTATAAATGAAAATCGAGGTTCCTTTTTCGGTCTAATTTCAAAAGCAACTGAAGAAATTTGGAGGAGACTTGATATAATTAGCATTAATCAATACGGTATTAACGTTCATAACTCGATTTTAAGTTTTCCTGTAAATTCGCTATAAATATGCTGGTGGACTTCAAAATGTAATTCGCATAAAGGAGTTAGTATTTGTGACAGGTAAAATTCAAAATTGTATGAAAAAAGATGTCGAATTCCGACAACTGGGCGATACTAGTAAATAAAAGATCTGCTTTATACCCAGTACAGTTTGTAGAAATAAACGATGTTCTTTTCAATAATAAAAATTTAGTTGTTTATAAAATATCGTGCATTTTAAAAAACAACTAATGTATTACATAAAAAAATAAATAACGAGTGTTGTAGCCTTAATAGTGTTTCCTTCACATTACAATTTTTAAAAAGGGCCAATGTAATGCTTAAATCCGTAGTCCAATACGTATGTATGAAAATTTTAAAAGAAAAGGAATACATTTTATTTAAAATGAGTTTTTTCAAAAACGGCTCGACAAGTTATGGGCTATAAAATTTTTACACATTATTTATAACATAAATAACCCAAATTAGCAATAAAAAATGATGTGCTATGACCTTCGATTTAAAGTTGGTTCAGGCCCACCGTGACCAGTCTTTGAAAAAAAATTCAAAAACAGCATCAAAAATCTCATTCTTATGATTCCGTAGAAAATATTTTTTAAATATTTTTCCGCAAACTTTTTAAGCTTAAACTGTTTAGTCATCCGAGGTATTTTTTTAAAAAAATATTTAAAAAACTGTTTTTATTAATAAAAAACTAAATTTTTGGAGGTATTTTCAAATCGGTCCAGCTCTTAATATATTTACGAGATATTTTGGTAGAAGTCTTAAAATATAATAGATTTTATAATTCCAGTGGAAAACAGTACCGATTTTTTCTTTGTATGGGGAGTGATGCAGTCCAATGTATATATGGGAGGTTCCCTGGGAAAGTGGACCTCAGTGCAAAAACAAGTTCTAAGTAAATTTTTTGACTGAGTTTAGAGTAGGTTGTGTTGAATACACTGTCAAATAATTTGGAGTTCATAATTCAAGTGTTTGGTAAGAAAAATATATAGTAGAACTCATCTGCTTTTAATAAAGTTGTGTTATATATTAAATTTTGTGAGTGCTTTATCTATATTATGAGCTATTATTAAGCAGTATTGGTCTTGTCCCACCCGTGGCAAAAAAAGGTAAAAGTTGTTATATTTAATTACGGAAGTTGAGGTTGTGTTTGGTGTTTGTTACATAATGTTAGAAATTCATTGCAAATATTTACCATAATTGCATTGTCCTTTCCACGTTGTTAGATAAGAATAATTCAACAGAGAAGTATGTCCCACCCGTGACAGCCTTGTGTGGGACAGTTGCCAGAGGTAGGTTTACAGGGCTGATAAGCTTTATTTGTTTGTTAAGGTGGACGCAGGGAAGGAGGGGGGGGGGGGG